TGGGTCTCGTATGCATTCTGTCTTCTTCTTCTAGAGCCAATTCGCACGCTGTTTCCGCCTGCGAAGCTCGTCGTTCGAGCGTCTACTTTATTGTGCTTTGTAAGTATTTTGCCCACAGTTTTACCTAGCTAAAACAGACTTGTCTCTAGTCTAAGAAAGACCTGCTCGACGTAAGAGCCAACGCTATCTCTGACTTTTAGGCTTGTAGATACGACCTTGCCCCAAGGCAAAGTGGCATTCCAGCCCCCTAAAATCTGATTGTTTTCTCTGTCCACCATTAGCTAGCACAAACAAAACCACCAGAACGCAAGGAGGAGAGCTTGATGTAAGCGAAGAGCTCCAGCTCCGCGGCATGCTTGCGCTAACTATGCACGGTTGTTGTTATCTGCATCACTCCGCAACCTAAAGGACAACCATTGGGACACAGCTTCGCGCAGCCTATTGGTAAGCCGTCTGGAACGTTGGCAACTAGGCAGAGCGAGTTTCCATTCACTAACGACCGTGGATATATGATGCTGGCTTGTGATCTACTAGAAGAGACTGCAAACATGCTCCGCCACAGGTACATAACGTACGACGCTTGGATTCTAGTTTTAACTGCACGCGCTGCTAATTACTTCTTGATGTGTGATGCTATTCCAGGTGACGACGTCGTAGACATGGTATTTCCTGTTGAATGCCTACCGACCGCTATTAAGCTGCGAGCAATACTGACTGCACGCAAAGGCACTATACAGAAGAATCCTCGTGTAGGCAATATGATGCCGTTTAATTTCACAGTTGGCGAACGCTTTAGTGTGTTGTATTCTAAAATCTTCCGAATTTTGCAAGACAAGCCTTTCAGCAACCTACTCTTGGAAGATGAAGCCATATATTTTAAAGCAAGTAAAGGCGCTTCTCAACACCGATATGAAGTCATCAATGAAGATTAAGTTACAGCGCGTTTGACTCAGCGAGTAAAGCGAGTATCAACGATAAAGAAGCATGGAACCAAGATGTTTTCAGCAACTTGCGATTAGAAATTGTTGTTTACTGTCGCACGAGAGACACCGTGAAGCCTACAATTCACCGCGCGACACCAGCACAAATTAGAGACGCGACAGCTGCGGTTCCAAGAAGAGGCCAGTGTAAACCTCGGACCTATTGCAATGAATCATGTGGTGACTACGCACGCTCGCCAGCCTGACGATACGTCTTTTACTTTGCCTGAAGACAACACGACACGGCATGCAATGGCCCTTGACGCATCCGTAGCAGCTTCTGCTGCAGGACAGAGATATATATAGCAACAATCCGCCTAGAAGTCAATGGCAACTGGACCAACTTTCGTGTGGATGTCCCATCACTTCGCAATGCAGTTGGACTGCCTGCTCATGACATTTTCACGGAAGGTATTTACCACGGATTTGTACCCGTTGACCCCCCCCCCCCCTAGAGTTGACATGGAGGATGATCATCGTGATGATGAGAATGAAGACGGAGAATTTAACCGCATTGTTTAAGATGT